TGTAACTTGAGATAACATTCCCCTAGGCACTAAAAATAACAAAGTGTAATCTTTACGTTGGGATTTGGGTATAAACACCCTCTGCAAGTATTTAGCCTTGCAACTCACATTTTGCTGAACTTGAATTAGGTTAAGGGTTTAAAGCTTTCTGTTTTCTGGGAAAAGGCTCTTATATGAGACTCAAGGAAAGCAGAATTCTGTCTAAAATTAGGATTTATAATAATTATATATAAGGAAGTTATATACCACTTAAAATCCCTTGCCTTGTCATTAACACCTTTATTATTCAAGAAGCATTTTTTAAAGCTTCCATATGGCAGTCCAAGCCATATGAAGAGACTATTTTCATGCTTCAATATTTGCATTGCAGTGAAATGTAGAGGTCTTTATCATGGGCCAGTCCCTTCATAGTCATACATTCAAAAGATAATCTCGGTCCCAAAGTTGTGTAGAACAGAAGTCAAACAGATTGTTTAGAAACAGAAAATCAACTTGACACTTTACCTTGCAGTCATGTGGTGTTGGTGTGGGCCTTAATCAACCCAAAATACACTGTTTACCAAGAAACACACAAGTCTCTTTAAAGAGTCTGAGTATAATGCATAAATGCTTAAGCCTAAATGCCTCAGTTTTCATTCCCACAATACTGACCATATACTATTCCCACTAGACCATGAGGTCTCCAAACTTTCTCCCTGTCACACTGTCCTTACTCCTAAGGGTTATCAGCTCAGAGTCATATTATTAGTCTGCAAAATCCTTCATGATACCCTGGGGGATAGGCAGTTTCAGACTCTGGGAGAAATCTGTAAGGAGCTACGAAGTTTTGTTTTTCACATCCAATGCGACTTAATTTTTGTGTACTAACAGTACTTTCTCATAGATCAAATCTGTAATTTCTGCTAAAAAAATCCCAAACACTTTCCCATGGCCAGCAAGACAAAATTTCAATCACTTATAACAACCTACCTCTGAGAGCAGTTCACCATTTTTAGGAGGAAAATGACAGTTTTGATCTATTTACGCCACACAAACAGAGCAGATGGGATTATGCTCTGTCATGTCTTCTTTCCATCATGAATAATACCTTTGAGTATTCCACTGAGGAATGTACCCATGTCTATAGATGATGAAAATATCACATTCAGCCGAAAATCCTGTTGTTCTAGTTTTGTTAGTTTTGTTGTGGTTTTAGACATCTACTTGGCCAGTTCATGTGCTGTGGAAGCAGTCGGAGTAGCAGATGTAAAATTTAAAGCACTCCACCTGAAGGTATGGTGGAAAGTGGGCTTTAAAAGACAGATCTTACCTGGAAGACATTACTCCATAAGCCAGAAGGGGACTAATTCTGTAGGGATAAAAACCTCAGCAAGTTATAGAAATCCTATACCATACAGAGCAGGCACTTGCTTCAGCCAGTGGTTCCTAACTGTGCTTTTTGGATTGAAGCATTATTGTTGTTCACAAAGTACAAATAGTTATATACTCTCAATTCCATCTTCTTTCCAGCAGCCAAGCTGCATGAAAAAGGCTAAAATGGAAAGTAAGTGTTTTTCTGATGTTCATTTTCTCCACAAGCAGTTTTGACTCTCAGAGATCTTGGGATCAGGCCAGAGATGTCCCAATCTACAGAACTGGGAATGAAATGCAAAGTGACCACATTTGATCAGTGATCTGCAAAATTCTGAAAACTTTTAGCTTAAACAATTCAAAATCAATCATCTACCACGTTCACTAAAAAGGGAATTTTATCTGGTTAATCATTTATTTCCATTGTATCTATTAGAAGCCCACTGCTTTCTCAGCAGAGCTTTACACATGTAAACAAAGTTTACTCACTTGTTGCTTGAGCAGCACAGAGTTGACTCATTTTTGACCACCAGATCTGAACTCACACATAAACTTCTGCTCCCTAGATAGATGAACTGTTTTGTACACACTTCTACCCTTGCAGAGACACTTGCACCCATGGGTAATGAGGGTAAAACCATTCCAGAACAAACGAATTTGGCTCTGGAAGGAACTGAAAGTGGCAGTTGTACAAGTTGCAGGTAAGGACAGTCAACACTAAAATGAAACAAGAGGCTGAGGCAATTTAAAGAGGCATTACTACAGTATCTACCACAAACTGTTATATAAATGCCAAATCAAGGCAAATAATCCATAAAAAAAAGTATGCTTGCTTTGCATCATTTCTTCTAATACATGAAATGTTCCTTCAGGCTTAATGCAAATCAAAACATTTCAGTAAGATGATCAACAAAAGTGTTCATTGCAACTTGAAATGTCAAAAATGGCATTGCTTAGAGAGGTAAGCAACTTTTGCTGTTATGTTTTGCGGGGGTGTTGATTTAAAAGAAATTTGAGATTTGTCCTCTGTATGGGAAGAAATTAAAAAGTATCTCTGTGAATACACTTGCAAAATGGAAATGCAGCAGTAATAGAAGAAAATGGACAGAAAAGTTTATGAATAAGAATAAAATTAAATGATTTAGCGTGGATGTTCAGGAGTTCCTTACATTATAAATTTTCTCAATTCCATTTAGTTCTGGGAAGGGAGGGAGAAAGACACTCTTTCAGAAAAGAAACATTCTCATTGTTTAATTTTCAATTAAAACTTAATTTCTCTAATGTTTCAAGTTATATGCATACTGAATACATACAACAAACTATCTCAGTCTCCTTAATAAACTTCTTTGTACAACTAAAAGAAATAAAAGTGCCAGGTAGTATATTCTTTAACATGTGCAATACCCCAATTTGGTTATTACATCTGCTGTCCAGGTGAGGGAAGTGCTCATGTGGTTAAGTCCATGCAGTGGGAACAGGAGAGCTGGATCCTATTTTTCCCTTTGCAGAGGGTATAAAATAAAGAGTTTGGACGATTTACATCCCAAATACAGTGTTCTGTTTCCTAAAACACCTGCATGAAGAGCTGTGCTGGCCCACCGTGCCACAGGGGCAGGAGTGAGTGCCAGGGAGGACTACAACAAGCCAAGGTTGCCAAAAAGGAACAAGGAGTAAAAACAAACCAGGGAGAAGAAAAAGCCATCCTGAGGAGTGCATCTTGAGCCCACTTCAGACGAGTTATCCTCTGTTTTCCTGTACCATGGGCCATTATAACTGCCCTAATCAGCCTTTCCATGGCATAGTCATAAACTGCACATACTTCAACAGGAAATAAAGAACATTCCTGAGCTGTGAGACAGCTGTGTTGAAACCTCACACTTCTTAAAAGAAACTTCAGAACCATTTATTTAAATCAGCTGCAAAAAAGCCGCATCCTTGATAACGCACGCACACGGATAAGCAGGTTTAGACTTTCCTCTTGCAGTGGTTTCAACGTATATGAAATAGCAAAATACTAAATCGTGCCAGTTACACCAAATTGACTCCAGCCTAGTGATCTCAGCATCCTGCTATTTCAAAAACAAATGTTAAAATAGCCAAAGGTCAGACTAAAGTTCTTTTAGATATTAACTTTTGTCTTGTGAGTGAGCAATAGCAGAACAGGACAAGGAGGAATGGCTTCAAACTGAAAGAGAGTAGGTTTAGATTAGATATTAGGAAAAAAATGTTTACTGTGGGGGTGGTGAGGCACTGGGACAGGTTCCCGTGGATGCCCCATCCCTGGAAGTGTTCAAGGCCAGGCTGGGTGGGGCTGACAACCTGATCTGTGGCAGGGGAATGGAACAAGATGATCTTTAAGGTCCCTTTCAATACAAACCATTCTATGATTCTATTAAAAAAAACCAGATAAAGCAAACTAGAGGTATCCCCTGCTCACACCTCCAGCCATTAGCAACTTTTCAGTCGGGGACTTTGGAGTCAAACTGCATCTGCCTGTTTATTCTTACATATGTTTTCCTCCATTAAGCATTTCCTTCAGCTGTAACCAATGCCTTGTCTGTCTATTTTCTTGAGCTCATGTAAATCTGTTGTACCTGTAATACCTCCTAGCAAGCAAACTGAAGCAGTGCTTTATTGAATGATTTATATGATGCACAACAGTTCCATCAGAACAGGGTAAAAATATCAGAATAAATAAATATATTCAAGTTATATAAACAAAGTAAAATAATCATGAACACAGTAAGTATTCAAGTGTAACAAGGATTTTAAAGCAACCTGTTGTTCACCAGTGGACTAACTAAACCTTTGCACACAAGTATTTTATGCACTTTCAGAAATAAATAGTCATTAGAAGGATCTTTAGGAGCCTCAAAACAAAGAGGCACTGTAGACTCAGGGTGTCTTTCTGGCAGGGTTAGCCTTCTCTGCCTCACCTTCCACATTATATTTTCTTGTTTCCCAGGCACGTTATATGCCTCAGCTGAACAGCACACAACACAGAACTTAAATTTAAATTCAACAAAAACAATCATAGGCATAAAAATGGCAGACCCGCAGAAGTTTTTGCAAGATCAGAGGTTTAGTGAGTGATGAGTTTTGAAACACCAGACAAGCTCAGAACACTAATTTTTAGCAAATTACTCCAGAAAGCACTTAAAATTAAAACCCAATCCCTTCGGTTTGTTCACTTTCACACTCCTGGTACAAACCAGTGACAGCCTGCAAACCAAAATAAACAAACAACGCCCGCAGCTGGAGAACGTCTTCTCCTTTTCTCTTTCCTTTTTCTTTTTTAGTTTCCCCGCCTTTCTTTCCTCTTTTCCCTCCAGTTCCTAACCGCACTGAGGGGAGGAGGAAGAGAAGGAGGCGAGGGACCCGCCAGCCTGCCTGGGAAGGTCGGCAGGAAGGCGACCTGGAGGAAAATTTGCACGGCGGGGGACGAGCCGGAGGGACTTGAAGAGGAGGAGGAGGAGGAAGGCGCTTCTCGGAGAAGCGGAAAAACACCTCCCCCCCGCAGAGAGCTGTGGTTTCCTCGTCGCCGGCGGGGCGGGGGAGCGGGCGGGAGGTGGGATGCTGGGCAGGAGGTGGGATGCTGGGCGGGATGCGGGGCGGTGTCGCCGCAGGCACTTTAAAGCCGCGGCGCCGGCGGGCTCGGCGTGGCGGCGGCATGGCCGAGGTGAAGGTGGCCGTGCTGGGCGGGAGCGGGGCCGGCAAGTCGGGTAAGGGGGGAAACCCAGGGAACCCCCGGCCTTGGCCGTACCTCGGGTTTGGTGCAGGGGGGGCGGCGCGATCCCGCTAAACGTGGCGTGTGCTTCCCTCCCTTAGCGCTGACCGTGCGGTTCCTGACCCGGCGGTTCATCGGGGAATACGCGTCCAACGCCGGTGAGCGCCGCGGGACGGAGGGAGGGAAGGAGGGCTGGGAGAGGGATCCGGGGGGGATCCGCTCGGGGTTCCCCCGGGGAGCGCAAGACGCGGCGGTTCGAGCACTTATTTGATCGGGAAACCGGGTAAAAGCGCGGTTTCGCAGAACTTTTCGGGAAGATTCAAGTTTCCGCTCGGTTATCAGCGGGAGGTCCTGGCTAAGGGTAAACTCTGAGGAGGGAGAAGGACGAGCGGGGTGTCTGTGCAGGGATCGCCCCGAACCGGGGAAGGGAGGATGACCGGACTGCGAGTGGGAAGTGAGGGTGGGTTATAAGTCAGCTCAGTCAGAGAGGAGGTGAAGAAAAGAGACAGACTAGGTAAAAAAAAACAAAAACAAAAAAACAAACAAAACAACAACAAACCCACCCCCAAACCTATTCTACTGAATATCTGCTCTTCGGTTCCAGAGGAGAGGTGGAACGGATTGTTTATCGGGCACTGGTGGTGAATCAAAGCATAACGCGAAACCCCCAGCGAAGCAGGAATGCGCTGGTTGGATTTCTTTGTGGAAAGTCTCGCTGTACAGAGGACAAAAGGTCACATTCGTGCCAGAACTAATATGCTGATCCTTAAGACACTTCTAAGGTCTTGGGAGGTGGCAAAGCAGGACTCGAACTTTCACATCCCGGGTAGAAATACTGTTTAACTGATACACAAACAACTTCGGAAGTGCGCTGCCACCCCAGCTGATGGGCATGAGAAGTCCCAAAACTTAAGATGTCAGAGAGATTGCTATCTGCCTCGCTTTCCCTGCTGAAGTGGAGGAGTCTTTCCACATTTTTTTTTCATGGGGATCAGAGTAGCTTCCAGTGATCCATAGATAAAAAAGAAATCAGAAGTACTAAACTGAATTGTGTTAAATATATCAAAATTAATTTATTATGAAGGGAGAGTTATAGTTGTATATTTATGCTCTACCAATACTTGTTACAATACAAACACAGACTGAAAAGATAGTTTGTGTCCTAGCTGGCTGATCTAGGTCTGTCTGAGCTGTCACATGGAAGTTGAATAGTGTTCTCTGTGTTCCATGTGTGGCCAAGCCACCTGCAACTAAAACCAGGTTTCCCTGTTCTGAGCCTCCAGTACTGCAAGTGTCAGAACATTTTCATTTGTTAACAAATGTTTGTTGGAAGATACGTTCAGCACTATTTCTAGAAAGGAGGAAGGGGGAGGGAAGTGGGAATAGGGGTGGTAAAGATCGTGCCACTGTTAGTGGAGTCAAAACATTAACTAAAATTTTGTTTAATTATGGAAACAACCATAATTAAACAAATTAAGGGCTACAGATTTTATTTTCTGAGATGCTTGGGACTGATAGTTCATCATCAGATGAACTCTTATGATAGGCATGGAGAATGCTTAAGATTAACATGGTCCTGAGCTGAAGATGCTGAGTTCCAGAGATTATAGACCTACCCTTCATTACACAGTTTTAATTGGATTTTCTGTAGGGCAAATACCAGTTCATGTCTCTGTAGCTCAGAAACTGAGAAGTTATACTGCAGAAAGCCTGTTGACAACTAACTCAATGAACACAATCTGGTCACACTTGCTTAGAACAGGCTGCTGGTGAAAAGAATAGTGATGGTCTGTCTGCAGTAGTGTTCCCAGTGTTGCTGGTGGAGAGTCCTAAATCTGAGAACTGACACTACAGAAATATTTTTGGACTAGATCCTAAGGACATGATCCTGTAAATCCTGTAGGTCTAATGCTGCCTTGTATGAGAACTCTTAAAGCACCAGGTGTCATGGTAAATAAACAGTATTGCTCAATAATGGCTTTTGTACAGAATCAGAACTACAGATAGTCTGGCTGACTACTTGCATAATCCTGAGCCTTAGGTATCAAGCTGAGTGATCAAGAACATTTAGCTGATTCTGAGCATTGTGTATCCCCTTTCCCTCCATTTTAGAAGAGGAAAACTATGGTCTGAAAGTATCCATTGCACCAAAACTTTGATGGAAGCACCAAACTGAAGTGTTGTTGGTCTGCCCAAGGGGCTGGTTGTTGCAAAATGAAATATGTTTCTTTCCAATGTGTGTTCAAAAAAAGAAAAAGCAAACAGCCGGTCAACAACACTGCAAAAAACCCCACGCCAACAAAATAATTAAAAAAAAAAATCAAACAAAAAAACTCCTCTAACCCTGAAAACCCCAACAAAGCCAAACCCCCTCCTCACCTGCAAAAGAAACAAATCACAGACAAAACCCCTTGAAAAACCAACCAAACCAAAGAGTACTCATGTAATCCTCAGTATTATCCAATGTCAGCATTGCTGCCTTTTCTTTTCACTGTCACCCCAGGTCGCTAACACTGATTTTCTTTGGATACTGTCTATCTTTTAGAATGCATCTACACTAAACACTTGTGCCTGGATGGGAGGCAGATACACCTGGAAATTTATGACCCTTGTTCACAGGTAAGAATTGGTGGGAGGGGGCAAAGAAAGACTGTTTTTCATTCTATCTGTGTATATGGTAAAAAGGGTTGAGGGGTTACAAACTTCTTGTCTGCTGTTGGAATTTTTCCTTGCTGGTTTTCTTTTAAAGACTGAAATTTTATAGTTGCTGTGGCTCAGACCTGCTGAGTACTTTCCAATTTCATGGAAGAAGTCCTTCATTGTTTAGATTTTTCGTAAATGCCTTTTCATTTTGGAGTTTTGCTAACAGAAATAACTTTTACCACTTTTGCCTTACTTAGGTAGATACAGAGATAAGTTATTGGGTTACATGCAGTTTTCTCAAATACCCTAAATGGACAAAATTTTATATAGCTTATAGTTTATAAAGCAAGCAGTTTACTAAATGTCTGCAGAAATGGTCAAAGTAGACATTGTTTCTCCTCTTGCTAGCGCATTCTGAGCTATCTTGTACTAGTTTTTACTGAAGAACAAGGCCTAACTTTAGCTGTTTGCTGCTTTATTCCCAACTTCTTAGTGTCTGCACAGGAGTAGGTAAGAGGCAGAGGCAGTATTGCTTTTCTCTGGCAGGACAGGGTTTTGGAGATCCTGTATCCCATGAGAGATGGGGAAGAAAAGCAGGTCCCAAGAGAAGACCAGAATGGGGAAGGAAGTGGTGCCATTTTTGTTTCTGCTTCCTGAAATCTTCCTGCTCTCTGAGGTTTTCTTCTAGTAGCTGGATACCTGTTGTACAAAGCTCACTGTCCCTTCATCCGAGAAACAGCTGTGACACACACACACGTCACCATTCCCACCCCTAAATGTGCTGCACAGTCCCCACAGCACTAAAAAAACCTGTTGTATTAAAGATGCTGAAGTCTTCAGACAGTTCTGGAAACTTGTTTCATCTTTCTCATGCATCCCCTTTCACTGCCACCTTTCAGTTACCATCCCTCACTGTAAGTTACAGCCTCCCCAGTTCAGATGTTAATGGTGCTACTGAGCCAATCAAGGCAACCAGGTTGGGATGTCACTGGAGAATATACATTGCAAGTAGCAAAGTCCTAAACTAGCAAGGGACCAACTTTAACAGTCCTCAGTTTACTATTCAAGGCGAGTTTTCCACAGAGCAAAAGTCAATTTTTAATCTTTATTTTTTTCCTGATCAGCTTCCGGTATTTCATCTATTTTGGGTCACATGGTTTTGCTAGCTGCAGCCAAATCATCTATGGGGATAAGCTAACTTAAAATAGTTTTGAAATTACATTCCTTTGCTTAATAGGACAGTTTGCAGCTGTTGCTTTCTGGAAATCAGAAGTGCAACAGTTTCTTGTGTTGAAGGGACTCAAGGATTGGTATAACCCCATTGTCACTAGAGCAGCTTTTGTCACTAGTTTGTTTTAAACTCAACTGCAGATTGATGGGAGATTTTTTTCTAGTTGTCTCTAGAAATTTATCCTCTGGGTAGTGTTTCAGACTTGAACAATTCAATGAAGAAACAAAGCAAATGAGGAAACCAAGCAGATGAAGAAACCAAAAAAAGTCATTAAGCTTAGTGTAGTCAGATTATTAGAAACACATAAACCAGAGCTATAACCAGAAAATGCACAAATATCAATGGCTCCTGTGTGTTTCTTTCACATGTAACCCTGCAGAATATTCAGCATAAGTAGTGGTTGTACAGGTTATGCATTTTTACTGTTTAAAAAAAGCATAAATTTTTCATAATTTGTTGGTAATCCAAAGTGCTATCTTTACTGATGGTTATATATTAGGCTTTTGGAGCAGTATTCACCTGAATTTGATAACAATACCTAGGCCTATTAAATATCCTTTGCAATAAAAGATACAACATTCTCACATTCACAGTGACAAAGAAAATGCTCTGATGTGACAACAGTAACATTCTTTTTGCATGTGAATTTGAACTTCTTTCAGCCACAGCAGGGGAAACTCTCCCTCACAGACGAGCTCCACTGGGCTGATGGATTTATCATTGTTTATGACATCAGTGACAGAGCATCGTTTGCATTTGCAAAAGCATTGCTGTACAGGATCCGAGAGTCTCACACAGGAGTTTGTAAAAAGTAAGTGGCATTATTTTTTTTCCCCTCAGCAAACATAATAAAGAGCCGAGAACGTTTCTGTGAGCTGTAGGCATCCTAGTAGCAATTAAAATCCAGCAGCATCCAAGTGACATAATGCAATGCCAACAACAAGGTACCTGGAGGTAAAATGTGTGGCAAATTGCAATCTATTTCACTGTATCCTATGCCAAGTACATCAGGACTTTTGTTTTTCTTTCTTACAAAATTGCTATTTAAATAATTGCCATAAATCTCTCTGCTGTGATTTGCATGGCTATAAAGCTGGCAGTCAGTCTGTGCTTTTACTCTCCCACTTGATTACTGATGGAGATGCACCTGTGTGGGGGTTGAAGGAAGCATTTCCCAACATATAGGAGTCTAATACCATGAATGTCTCCTAAACTGCCTTTAGCAGTGACACCGACATTATTTGTGCACACAGGTAACCACGTGGTAAGAAACAAACTACTTCCAAAAAGAACCACCAAAATTGCAAGTCTGAGTACGTGTGGTGGTGTGTATTCCTGCATCTGTCAGCTGAGGTGCTTTCTAAAAAATGAGAGTGAAATCCCTTTCTTATATCTGGAGAGGAGTAAAAAACCAAAACACTTTCCTCTCTGTTTTACTGCTGAACTTTCTTAATTTTCTCTGAAAGGAAAAAATTTAACGGAGCTTGGAATTAGGTTTCCTGTGTTTTCTTCTGAGTTATGCCACTGACACTTGATGTATCTCTTGGACTCTATTCTGTTTCCTGCAAATGGGGATAATGATCAGCTTGCTTCTTTGTGAAGTCCAGGTGCTGACAATATACTCAGCAGTATAGAGGATGAAATCAGCAGTGGATTAAAAATACATTAATTCATTGAGTAGAGGAACCAAAATGAAAATGTACTGATAGAGAATAACTGGTCTGGAAAATCCTTTGACATTTGACTGTGGCAAAGGGAAAACCAGAACTCTGGCAGAGTTGGGGTGCTGGTTGGTTCTTTTGGATTTTTTTTTTCTTTTTGCAATGCCAATTATCTTGCACATAGAGACTTTTCATACACACCTGAATATAGCACAGTATTGTGATACATCTTTTCTCTAATTGGAACCTTTTTGATTTCAGAATGGTCGAGTCATCTATATTTTTGGTTGGTAATAAACAGGATTTATGCCACATGAGGGAAGTTGGCTGGGATGAAGGACAGAAGCTGGCAATGGATAACAAGTGCCAATTCTGTGAACTGTCTGCAGCAGAACATTGTCAGGAAGTTGTGGCAATGTTCACGAAAGTCCTGAGGAATATCACTTCAAATTTCAAAGTGAAAGAAAAGAGACGACCGAGTGGATCAAAGTCAATGGCCAAGTTAATCAACAATATGTTTGGAAAGAGAAGGAAATCTGTGTAAAAGATGGTTAGTCTTGAAGTAGGAACAAGCTGAAATAATGGAGCAGAGGCAGCTCTTGGGATTCAGTGAATTTCCTCCAAAGGTTGGTATCTGGAGGAGTAAGACAGTAGAGGCCAAAGGTGGGAGATGGTATGGTCAAGTGAATGGTCTAGACCTAGAAGACTGACCTTCTATTTCAAGTCCTACTCCAGATTTACTGTGTTTAGGGCTGTGCCACTTAAACCATAAGCTGCTCCAGAGGAGAGTTTGATTCTGTATTTATTCAACACCAACATGGTCTTGGGTAGAGCTTCTAGGTGCAACTGAAGTACAGTTATTCCACAGAATCACTTATTTGGAAAACATCTTTGAGTCCAAACATTAACCTGACACTGCCAAATCCACCACTGAGCCATGTCCTTAAGTGTTCCATAATTTCCGATAAACTCAGCCTTGCTGACCAAAATCTTACTTCAGAATTCTGAGAAGCAGTTGAATTTTTTGTGCAAGAACATTTGATCAGATCTTACCTGGAAGACATTACTCCATAAGCCAGAAGGGGACTAATTCTGTAGGGATAAAAACCTCAGCAAGTTATAGAAATCCTATACCATACAGAGCAGGCACTTGCTTCAGCCAGTGGTTCCTAACTGTGCTTTTTGGATTGAAGCATTATTGTTGTTCACAAAGTACAAATAGTTATATACTCTCAATTCCATCTTCTTTCCAGCAGCCAAGCTGCATGAAAAAGGCTAAAATGGAAAGTAAGTGTTTTTCTGATGTTCATTTTCTCCACAAGCAGTTTTGACTCTCAGAGATCTTGGGATCAGGCCAGAGATGTCCCAATCTACAGAACTGGGAATGAAATGCAAAGTGACCACATTTGATCAGTGATCTGCAAAATTCTGAAAACTTTTAGCTTAAACAATTCAAAATCAATCATCTACCACGTTCACTAAAAAGGGAATTTTATCTGGTTAATCATTTATTTCCATTGTATCTATTAGAAGCCCACTGCTTTCTCAGCAGAGCTTTACACATGTAAACAAAGTTTACTCACTTGTTGCTTGAGCAGCACAGAGTTGACTCATTTTTGACCACCAGATCTGAACTCACACATAAACTTCTGCTCCCTAGATAGATGAACTGTTTTGTACACACCTCTACCCTTGCAGAGACACTTGCACCCATGGGTAATGAGGGTAAAACCATTCCAGAACAAACGAATTTGGCTCTGGAAGGAACTGAAAGTGGCAGTTGTACAAGTTGCAGGTAAGGACAGTCAACACTAAAATGAAACAAGAGGCTGAGGCAATTTAAAGAGGCATTACTACAGTATCTACCACAAACTGTTATATAAATGCCAAATCAAGGCAAATAATCCATAAAAAAAAGTATGCTTGCTTTGCATCATTTCTTCTAATACATGAAATGTTCCTTCAGGCTTAATGCAAATCAAAACATTTCAGTAAGATGATCAACAAAAGTGTTCATTGCAACTTGAAATGTCAAAAATGGCATTGCTTAGAGAGGTAAGCAACTTTTGCTGTTATGTTTTGCGGGGGTGTTGATTTAAAAGAAATTTGAGATTTGTCCTCTGTATGGGAAGAAATTAAAAAGTATCTCTGTGAATACACTTGCAAAATGGAAATGCAGCAGTAATAGAAGAAAATGGACAGAAAAGTTTATGAATAAGAATAAAATTAAATGATTTAGCGTGGATGTTCAGGAGTTCCTTACATTATAAATTTTCTCAATTCCATTTAGTTCTGGGAAGGGAGGGAGAAAGACACTCTTTCAGAAAAGAAACATTCTCATTGTTTAATTTTCAATTAAAACTTAATTTCTCTAATGTTTCAAGTTATATGCATACTGAATACATACAACAAACTATCTCAGTCTCCTTAATAAACTTCTTTGTACAACTAAAAGAAATAAAAGTGCCAGGTAGTATATTCTTTAACATGTGCAATACCCCAATTTGGTTATTACATCTGCTGTCCAGGTGAGGGAAGTGCTCATGTGGTTAAGTCCATGCAGTGGGAACAGGAGAGCTGGATCCTATTTTTCCCTTTGCAGAGGGTATAAAATAAAGAGTTTGGACGATTTACATCCCAAATACAGTGTTCTGTTTCCTAAAACACCTGCATGAAGAGCTGTGCTGGCCCACCGTGCCACAGGGGCAGGAGTGAGTGCCAGGGAGGACTACAACAAGCCAAGGTTGCCAAAAAGGAACAAGGAGTAAAAACAAACCAGGGAGAAGAAAAAGCCATCCTGAGGAGTGCATCTTGAGCCCACTTCAGACGAGTTATCCTCTGTTTTCCTGTACCATGGGCCATTATAACTGCCCTAATCAGCCTTTCCATGGCATAGTCATAAACTGCACATACTTCAACAGGAAATAAAGAACATTCCTGAGCTGTGAGACAGCTGTGTTGAAACCTCACACTTCTTAAAAGAAACTTCAGAACCATTTATTTAAATCAGCTGCAAAAAAGCCGCATCCTTGATAACGCACGCACACGGATAAGCAGGTTTAGACTTTCCTCTTGCAGTGGTTTCAACGTATATGAAATAGCAAAATACTAAATCGTGCCAGTTACACCAAATTGACTCCAGCCTAGTGATCTCAGCATCCTGCTATTTCAAAAACAAATGTTAAAATAGCCAAAGGTCAGACTAAAGTTCTTTTAGATATTAACTTTTGTCTTGTGAGTGAGCAATAGCAGAACAGGACAAGGAGGAATGGCTTCAAACTGAAAGAGAGTAGGTTTAGATTAGATATTAGGAAAAAAATGTTTACTGTGGGGGTGGTGAGGCACTGGGACAGGTTCCCGTGGATGCCCCATCCCTGGAAGTGTTCAAGGCCAGGCTGGGTGGGGCTGACAACCTGATCTGTGGCAGGGGAATGGAACAAGATGATCTTTAAGGTCCCTTTCAATACAAACCATTCTATGATTCTATTAAAAAAAACCAGATAAAGCAAACTAGAGGTATCCCCTGCTCACACCTCCAGCCATTAGCAACTTTTCAGTCGGGGACTTTGGAGTCAAACTGCATCTGCCTGTTTATTCTTACATATGTTTTCCTCCATTAAGCATTTCCTTCAGCTGTAACCAATGCCTTGTCTGTCTATTTTCTTGAGCTCATGTAAATCTGTTGTACCTGTAATACCTCCTAGCAAGCAAACTGAAGCAGTGCTTTATTGAATGATTTATATGATGCACAACAGTTCCATCAGAACAGGGTAAAAATATCAGAATAAATAAATATATTCAAGTTATATAAACAAAGTAAAATAATCATGAACACAGTAAGTATTCAAGTGTAACAAGGATTTTAAAGCAACCTGTTGTTCACCAGTGGACTAACTAAACCTTTGCACACAAGTATTTTATGCACTTTCAGAAATAAATAGTCATTAGAAGGATCTTTAGGAGCCTCAAAACAAAGAGGCACTGTAGACTCAGGGTGTCTTTCTGGCAGGGTTAGCCTTCTCTGCCTCACCTTCCACATTATATTTTCTTGTTTCCCAGGCACGTTATATGCCTCAGCTGAACAGCACACAACACAGAACTTAAATTTAAATTCAACAAAAACAATCATAGGCATAAAAATGGCAGACCCGCAGAAGTTTTTGCAAGATCAGAGGTTTAGTGAGTGATGAGTTTTGAAACACCAGACAAGCTCAGAACACTAATTTTTAGCAAATTACTCCAGAAAGCACTTAAAATTAAAACCCAATCCCTTCGGTTTGTTCACTTTCACACTCCTGGTACAAACCAGTGACAGCCTGCAAACCAAAATAAACAAACAACGCCCGCAGCTGGAGAACGTCTTCTCCTTTTCTCTTTCCTTTTTCTTTTTTAGTTTCCCCGCCTTTCTTTCCTCTTTTCCCTCCAGTTCCTAACCGCACTGAGGGGAGGAGGAAGAGAAGGAGGCGAGGGACCCGCCAGCCTGCCTGGGAAGGTCGGCAGGAAGGCGACCTGGAGGAAAATTTGCACGGCGGGGGACGAGCCGGAGGGACTTGAAGAGGAGGAGGAGGAGGAAGGCGCTTCTCGGAGAAGCGGAAAAACACCTCCCCCCCGCAGAGAGCTGTGGTTTCCTCGTCGCCGGCGGGGCGGGGGAGCGGGCGGGAGGGGGGATGCTGGGCAGGAGGTGGGATGCTGGGCGGGATGCGGGGCGGTGTCGCCGCAGGCACTTTAAAGCCGCGGCGCCGGCGGGCTCGGCGTGGCGGCGGCATGGCCGAGGTGAAGGTGGCCGTGCTGGGCGGGAGCGGGGCCGGCAAGTCGGGTAAGGGGGGAAACCCAGGGAACCCCCGGCCTTGGCCGTACCTCGGGTTTGGTGCAGGGGGGCGGCGCGATCCCGCTAAACGTGGCGTGTGCTTCCCTCCCTTAGCGCTGACCGTGCGGTTCCTGACCCGGCGGTTCATCGGGGAATACGCGTCCAACGCCGGTGAGCGCCGCGGGACGGAGGGAGGGAAGGAGGGCTGGGAGAGGGATCCGGGGGGGATCCGCTCGGGGTTCCCCCGGGGAGCGCAAGACGCGGCGGTTCGAGCACTTATTTGATCGGGAAACCGGGTAAAAGCGCGGTTTCGCAGAACTTTTCGGGAAGATTCAAGTTTCCGCTCGGTTATCAGCGGGAGGTCCTGGCTAAGGGTAAACTCTGAGGAGGGAGAAGGACGAGCGGGGTGTCTGTGCAGGGATCGCCCCGAACCGGGGAAGGGAGGATGACCGGACTGCGAGTGGGAAGTGAGGGTGGGTTATAAGTCAGCTCAGTCAGAGAGGAGGTGAAGAAAAGAGACAGACTAGGTAAAAAAAAACAAAAACAAAAAAACAAACAAAACAACAACAAACCCACCCCCAAACCTATTCTACTGAATATCTGCTCTTCGGTTCCAGAGGAGAGGTGGAACGGATTGTTTATCGGGCACTGGTGGTGAATCAAAGCATAACGCGAAACCCCCAGCGAAGCAGGAATGCGCTGGTTGGATTTCTTTGTGGAAAGTCTCGCTGTACAGAGGACAAAAGGTCACATTCGTGCCAGAACTAATATGCTGATCCTTAAGACACTTCTAAGGTCTTGGGAGGTGGCAAAGCAGGACTCGAACTTTCACATCCCGGGTAGAAATACTGTTTAACTGATACACAAACAACTTCGGAAGTGCGCTGCCACCCCAGCTGATGGGCATGAGAAGTCCCAAAACTTAAGATGTCAGAGAGATTGCTATCTGCCTCGCTTTCCCTGCTGAAGTGGAGGAGTCTTTCCACATTTTTTTTTCATGGGGATCAGAGTAGCTTCCAGTGATCCATAGATAAAAAAGAAATCAGAAGTACTAAACTGAATTGTGTTAAATATATCAAAATTAATTTATTATGAAGGGAGAGTTATAGTTGTATATTTATGCTCTACCAATACTTGTTACAATACAAACACAGACTGAAAAGATAGTTTGTGTCCTAGCTGGCTGATCTAGGTCTGTCTGAGCTGTCACATGGAAGTTG